GTTTAACTGCGAAAAAGGATTGGACCGCTGAGACGACTTGCGACGAAGCGCAGAAGATGTAAAGGTAGAAAGAACGAGATATACGGTAGGAAAGGTAAACACACAATGCTATTCACTTTTGGTTTTACTGCTTCGACCACAAGAAACTTCCTTTAAACGCTCACGACAACCTAGGAATTCAACAGACATCACCTCAGTCTGCAGCGGCTATTATGTCTCCTTTGTCTGTGGTTTCACCCAGTAAAATTAAACCAGCGAAAAGTTGGTACGACCTCATTGATTTTATCGTGTGAGACTTAGCTGCGGTTTGAGATCCCATATCGTCATCTTATCGCGGTGCTCAGCGCGAATAAGGAACTGTTTGAGTTATCAGTTCCAACAGGTCAGTGCTACCAAGTCACTACTGGTTAAACGACCGTAGGTGCCAGCTGATTCCCGAGGATAACAATATTGAAACAACTAAGCTGTTCTACCAGCGAAACATATCCGTCAGGCGAGAATACTCACGAAAAGACGCATGAGATCGCAAGAGAAGAAGCCAGCGAATGGGTGCGCTGACCGTACCAGTGTCGGAAGTGGAATAACATTGATGTTGACAGCCGTGCGACCTTCCGCCTTGTTGAGGCCTAACATCGAAAAGTTATGTTACTCTCCTTATATTACACTGCAAATATATTTCTGTGACTTATGTGACTAAAGTTTTGTTGACTTGCCAATAGAAAACATATGCACCCAGGCAACAATCCCATTTGAATTTTTCGAAGCAACCACTGGTCATCACTGTATGGGTGGCACGCTCTCTCACCACGATGAACTGGTCTGACTTCAAGGACTCACTCTACGGTCAACCTAGACTAGGGTGATCTGCACCAGACGCTTAATTTGTCCAGGCCCGAATGAGTACATGTACATGAAAAATGCTTCAAGCTGTCACGAGATACTATTGGACACCCTCGTCGGAATCGAACCCACACTTCCCAGCACAGAACACAGGGGCATTAACCTTCGCTAGAGTGCATATCTCCTGATCGCTTATCGCACCGCTTTAATCGTTATCCTGTACCTACTGGTCACTGACGTAGTTTACGGCTGTGTGATTAACTAATACACATCTAAATTTTCACAAATACTGTCAAATGCTGGCGAGCTTCAAAATTATGTCAGCTTTTGCGGTTCCTCTTATATTTTTGCTACCAATCTTCGTGTACATCAAATTGTACAGGCTGAATTTATCACAGCAGCGAAATTCTATATCAAAAAGTTTTGTTGGAGCGTTTTGCTCTTGCTATACCCGCAAATCGATTTGATACAGATTAACTCTATATCTTTGAATGGAAGATCGTACCCCAGTGCGCTCAAAATCTGCTTTCGATCGACACCTGGTCTTAACATTTGAAAAGAGTCTGATCTCTAGATCAAACAGCTGACCAAGAGCAGTATGTCAAGCACGATTGAGCAGTCCAAATTTATTCTGCTCCTGTGGGTATAGAGAGTGTTTGTTCTGGTGTCATCGATGGCATAGGCGTAAAAAGATTTGCAACTTATTCGGGTACCTGACTGATTACAATAATCCAAAAATTCTGCCTTGTAAACTCTTGTCTAGTTTTACCTTGTCACCGGCATATATGTTGAGGCTACAATATCAGCATTTAGTTGACTTTTAAACGCTATGGGTGTACAGCTAAACCGGGTACCTTTTGTTTGGGATGCCGCGAAACTTTACGTACACTAGTACGTGCAGAGGAAGCTAAGCTACTTGAACGACTCGTTCGAGTAAAGGTTGAAGAGAACTGCATTTAATACAGTTAAGCTGTCAATATAACTTCAATCTTCGTCGAACTAAACTACGTGGTCGTATGACGACAACCTGCTCACCACTCATTGCACGAGTCTAGCAGCGATTCGTGGCATGCTATAGTTGATGTGTCTTTTGTCAAACAATCTTGGAGCAGCGCATGAATATTATCAAAGGGGATAATATTCCTTCAACATTGGTAGCATTTTGTTCAGTTACACAATATCTCTATTGACACCGTTTGGTGTCAATTACATATTGCTGCCTACCCCGTTATATCACTTCCCTAAACCGTCAATCACCCGTTGATTGAATATAATTGATTGGGACAGGGTGACCACCGTTGGACAACTCGGGTTAAGGTAGCACTTGTTGGTCAAATCCCAATCATTTGCCAATCCAGCGCATGGTTTCTGAAAATCAAGCAAGTTGCTACTGCAGCAGCAAGAAGAGCAGCTGCACGCATGCATGCAACCCGGGAAAGTACCTCTCACACCTCAGCAGCAGAAGATTCATCGCCTGTTGTTGTGAACCGTCTACGTGGTGCGTCACCACGTGCGACAGGTACATCCGCTGCGTCTGCAGCGGGTACATCGGTTCGTAATCAAGATGAGTCTGAGATAGAGCTCCTCTCTTCTGGCGAGTCGGATGATGTATCCGACTCGAAGGCGACATTTCACGCCTCCAGATCACCCGGGGCGTACAATGCAAGAGCTAGGTTGACTGGATCTGGTCAACGTGGCGGCATCATGCTCGAGATTTAGGATCGAGTGATTATTCCGATGAGTCTTCGCCTCGCACAAGTCCATCCAACGATAGGATGCGTGGGGATGATGGTGATGCACCCATGCATCACCACGAGCGAAGTAATTTAAGGGATCGGGGTAACACTGGTGCCAGTGCTCATGCTTGCACCAATCAAGAGGCCAGGGGCCGAAATGTCCTGCGCCACGCTCCCCAAGTGAAGTCTCCGTGGATGCCGCCGTCCAAAGTGTTGGACCGGTTGGCCGGCACGACTACCGAACGGGATCAAATCCCGTTGTTCGATTGCAGGAATATTTGTCCACCTGATTCCAGCACGGAAACTATCCTTGCTGAGGAAGAGTTCTTCACCGATGCGTATTTCAAACATCGGTGGTTTAATGGTAGCCGTGTTCAAGGAGGCAAAGCCTTGGTGCACGGATGGAATGCCCTCATCCATAACATCGAGTGCATTGGCCGTGAGGCTTGGCTCGCCAAACTTGATGCAGCTCGCATCAGGTCTATAAGGCGCAACCCAGTCGGGGCGCGATGAAAGTTGCACCGGCTATCAAGAGAGGCAGGATTACCCTGTCTCTTGTGGGGTGATTCGTGTCCAGGTTGCCTGTACAACTCGAACCGTGCCCCTAGGGAGGCCTACCTCCCTAAGATCTTTACTGGAGGTCGCGCATGTCTTCCGAGATGGCCGGAGGGATTGACACCTTGCAATCCCTGTACTCGCGGTCGGGGAGGTCGTTTTCCGACAGCCCTTCTTCAAATGCAGCGGGTGGGTCTCGTCGTACTGCTTGACGAGACCAAGGACATCAACAATCAGCTGGGCACGAGGCTCCCAGCTGTCCCACGCCGGTGGATAGCCACGCCAGCGGACGAGGTAACTCGTCCGGACGCCATTCACGTTGCGTTGGTTTAAAATACGCTCCAACAGAAAGCGTTGATCACCGCCAGAATCCACCAAAGGATGTGGTGGCGGTAGGAATACCTGATCCGGCTCGAGGGTCGGATCAACTTGATGTTCAAGAGCTGAACCGTTTAACGGAACAGTTGCAAGATGAACTGGCTCATGAACGATCTCGGCCTTATCGGCTTGAGGATCTTGTGAATGATAATTACAATTCCCTAACGCACGATCGCTCGGACGATCGTGCCGCTCTTGCGTTCGCGCAACTTGAGAACGAACGTTCGACTCGTTCTCTTCACGACGAGCTGGCTGTAGCTCGTCGAGACATCGCTGAACTGCGTGAATAGTTCTCTTCGCTAGACAACCAGACTTGCTCGTTGAAACAGGACCACTCGAAGGTGGCCTCGGTTCTCGACCGCGGAGGTGTTCTTCGCATCTCGAAACGGGCTCGTACTGATAGTACGGGCGGAGATGTCTACCGTAAAACGTAGGATGCGATCGCAGCTTACGGGGCAGTTCAATCGTGTATGCGTTGCCTATTCGGCGCAACACACGAAATTTGCCGACATACCTGGGCAGTAATTTACTGCTGCCCACGTTTGTCACTGCGTGTAATGGGTCTAGAACAACCCGCACTTAGATCACACTATTCTACGCTTTGAGGAAGCTTCAAAGCCCAAGTCTTAGGTGTTAAGTACGTTTAACTCTGTCAAATTTTTGTCTTTTAATCATCTTAAGTACGAATGGTTCCCTTGGACTCATGGGAACCACTCAATCTACGTGCCTATACCTTACTGGCTAATTATGGTACTGATCCCATTAAACCAGCTAAAATGCACGACGTGCTATTTTCGCTACCTCGAAAGTATCACCCCTAATTAAGTAACATGTAAACTAAATCGAAACAAATTATGTAACGGGGTGGCACATTACATCACCCCCTTCTCAAGACAGCACTAGCGAACCGTGATTGCTCAACCACAAGAACCCACGGACGCACAAGCCAAACGATGACTGAAATCGCAAACACCAACACCACAGCACTCCCGCGCACTGTCAGCGGGAGTTCGATAGACCACGTGATGGATCAGCACCTGATTCCTTGGGCGCTGCACAACTTGTCCGGAGCTCGAGCTCCGGACTCTCTTTAGACGATGCAGGATTACTTTCGGCGTTTCTTTGTATTGCGTGGGAAGCGTCTTGATGGTATCTCGTACGAGTCACTCCAGCGGTCTTGGTGTGCGTTCATCCGGCGGTCGAACCGGATGCTCGAAGACGGACGAAACTTTTAGCAGTGGTTTGCCAATCGCGAAGATATCCACGCCGATTTCTCGATTGGTGTGCTGTGCGAAAAGATATGCGAGAACGCGTAAATCGTAAAATAAATCTGCTACGTTCTGGTGCACTAATCTTGTTACTCTTGTGACTCGATGCCTCGTCCAACTCGCGAAACTTGGCAACGACACGTCGCTAAATATCCTCCCAGCGAAAATGAACACCTCTGGATCGGACGGTATGAGCGCAGATTGATGGAGCGCAAGAACGCGGTTAATCGTGGAGCGTCACGCTGGCGACACCATTCTCTTTCTCACGGTCGTGGTGCCACGCGCTCGCCACGACGTTCTCGTTCGCGTGGTCGTGGCGATACACGTTCACCACGATGTTCTCGTCGTCATTCTTCATCTAGTCGTCGCGGGAACGTTTCACCACGACGTTTTCTCAATCCCTCTTGGTCTTTAGTTGCGGTGATGCTTCACCACGACACAGTCGTCGTTCGTCTCGTTCTTGCTCACCTCGAGACCAAGTAGGTCGTCGACCAAATCTGAACCAAGCGTATGCACGGACTCGTAAGCCTGAACGACGTCTAGAACGTCTAGAGGAAGCAAAAAGCGCGGCTCCCACGTATCCTGCTTGGGTGGAAACCCGATCCAACGTACACTTTACTTGTGCACGGTTGGAATCGCGCGCTCATAGAGTCGCGACAATTTCGTTTCGCGACGAGGGTCCTCGTAACCCAATAAGCGATCCACGGTCCGGCGCTTCTGACTTTCCGCATCTACAAGCAGTGGTGGGCCCTCGCGATGGTAATACTGGCGTTCTGGTTGCCCAGAACGATGTAGACGCGGCTCTGAACAAGGCTTTCGATGCCCAGCTGGAAGCTGAAGCTGCCCTTGATCGAGCTGCGCGGGCTGATAGAACAGCGAGCGAGATTCGACAGCCAAACCACGAGCTACCTGAACGGATGCAGAACCTGGAACGCCAGCTTTAAGCACGTGCAAACTGGGACGCAACCGCGTCCGATGTCGCTGGCGAGTCGAGCAAGGCGAGAGGGAAGGTCGACCTAGGAGTATTTGTCTCTTAGGACGGAGCCAACCCGTGAAGCGTAGCTGGACGATACTCCTTGAGCCGCCCGACGTAAAACTTCGGGTGAAGTCGCAGTGATGAAGGGATGTCCAGCGTGTATGCGTCGTCGATCACCTTGAATATCGTGAATGGTCCGATGAAACGTGGCACGAGTTTGCTCGCGCCGAGATTGGCTACTGCTGAATATCGTAGGCCTTCGGTAGAGAACAATGCACGGTCACCCTTCTCGAAAGTACTCACGTTCTTTCTGCCACGTTTTTATGCAATAGCTTTCTTTTTATCCACTGAAGATCGAAGAGTATCGCGTAGAAACCTCGTTATGGCTTGACGTTGGAGTATAAACTCTGACTCAGACATATCATTAATTGGTCGCGCCGATTAAATCGGCGCGTAGTTGGCTTGAGGTCTTCGCATACCCGAAGAAGGGTCAATCAGTGTCTGTGCAGTCCATTGAGCTAGCGGGGACGCCACGTCACGTGGCGTCAAAATTAGAAGGTTTACCTTGGATTAAGTGACAACCTTCACGCTCATAATACCGTGAGCTGCACTCGATCGTTGTTTACCAATATCACCCCCCGCCAGAGTGGAGCCACGAAGAGCCGTGGGTTGACCCACGGCAAGAAAAGTAGTTACACGAGGAAGAAGGGCCAAATTTGCAAAAAATGGCGTCAACATCGTTGGCGCTTGAACCACGTTGTTATTTGCAAACTCCGCGAGTGGCGAAACTTTACCCCAGCTCGTAAAGGAAGTTGCGTAAGTTTTAAAAACATCCGCGAGGACCTCATTAACCCGCTCTGTTTGCCCATCCGTTTTCGGATGGGCTGCTGTCGACATTTGCAGCTTTGTGCCAAGGAACTCAAACAATGACGTCCAAAAACCAGATGTGAAACGAGGATCACGGTGCGAGACAAAGTTGTCTGGTAGACCGTGATGGCGAAACACAGTGTCAATGAAGTGCGCCGCGGTCTCAGCCGCGGTGATCTTTGCATGAACAGGCACGAGATGTGTCAGCTTGCTGTTTCTGTCCACAAAGACCAGAATACCCGTTCGATCTTGGCCGTCGGGTGCAAACCCGAAAATCAAGACCATTAAAATTGAGCGCCAAGCATCAGCTGCATATGCAGGGGTCGCAGAGGTGCCTGCGATGATGGAGATGGATTCACTCTTTGACATAGTTTGCAAGAATGAACCCAGTTGCAAACCCACTTGCACATGTGGGGCCAGAAGAAGTCATGTGAGACATCCGCGAATGTTTTTTCGCGGCCCAGATGACCGCTATTTGGGCATTATGGTACTCGTGGATGATACGAGCACGCAGATCCAAGTCATTTGCACTCACCGTTCGAGAAGCATCGAATTTATAGATGCTTCATAACAGCAAATAACCATTTATACTGGATCGTTGAATAGTATCACGCTTCGTTCGCGAAAGAGCTCCCAGTGCAGCATCACTGGGAGCGCGCAGATAGGCAATAATGTCCGCGTAATCCGGATCGTTCGCGTAAGCCGCAACAGCTTCATCGAAAAGGCATAACTCGGGTGTGACCCGAGTTAGGTTCAACGACACACACGTCACACATTCATCGTCTTCATCGTCGTCGTCAGTTGCTCGACGACTCAGTGCCATACGAGGATGTAATCTGGACGTCGAGACAGTGCGTCAGCATGAGTATTAGTCTTGCCTGGCTTGCAGTGCACAACGAAGTTGCACTCGTAGAAGAAAGAGAGCCACCGTGCCATCCGTTTTGACAGGTGTAGACCCTTTATCGCTGTTCGCAGCGATGCATAGTATACAGGGCGAACGTGCGTTCGCCCAGTAGGTGGACACGAAACTTGATGAGTGAGTAGCGCATAGCTTATAGCTCCTTATCGTGGACTGGATAGTTCTTCTCCGTCGGCTTCATCTGTCGTGATTGGTAACCCACGACTCTTTCACGGCCCTCATGATCAAACGGCATGAGGGCGTAACCAATTGCAAAGTCACTTGCATCACGCACCACGTAAAACGGCTTGGTGTCGTCAGGGAGTATCAACACTAGCGCCACAGCCAGGCTTTTCTTCACTGCGTCAAAGGCAGCTTGATGTTAGGGACGCCACAACCACGTGGCATCTTTCGTTAGAAGTGACGACAGAGGCTTTATAGAACCGGCGTAATCCTTTGTGTACTTATGCAAGTAATTAGCTAGACCGAGCCATTGACGAAACTTCGTAGGATTCTTGGGTGTGGGCCAAGAACGGTTTGACGACACCTTCTCTGGATCGGCTCGAACTCCGAATTTACTCACGTAGCAATCCAGCACCGGAATCTCCGGTGCACAGAATACACACTTCTTCAAGTTTGCACACAACTTGTTATCCCGCATGACTTGAAACACTTGCTGCAGGTGTTGAAGGTAAACTTGTACGGCGCTGAAAGTACCCTCAGCGCGACTGTGGACCAAGATATCATCGAAGTAGCTAGGAGCAAAGTCTCGAAGCGGTCTAAACACTCGAGACACCATGCGGATGAAAGTGGCTGGTAAGTTCTTTAATCCCTGTGGCATCACCAGCCACTCCCATAGCACACCACTCGTGGTGCTCACCGCAGTGAGTGGTATGTCACTCTGTCGCATCAAGATCTGGTAGAAGCCATCGGTCAAATCGATGGCGCTGGAGATGGCGCTTCCTGATTTGGGGTTGAGAACCATGTCTCTTGTGGGGATGGGCGTTTGGACAGTAATGGTGGCATCGTTTGGCTTGTTAAACGCATACACTATACGCCAGCCTCCCGTAGCCTTCTTCACGCAGAAGGTTGGACTCGAATGGAGTGAGACACTCTCACGCACGTGACCGGCCTTGCGATGACCTTCAAAGAATGCATCAGTAGCCTCGACTTGGTCTCGAGGCAACGGCCATTGCCGTGTCACACAATATTTTGATCCTGGCACGAGATCGATCTCGTGCCGCACGCCACGATCGGCAGGAAGTTTAGGCGTAATCTTGTCCGGGAACACGTCGGCGTACTCTCGAGCAATCTCGTAGACAGGGTTACCAGACTCGCGCAGAGCCTCCCAAGATTGCGACGCAAATCTTTCTTCGTGAGCTGACTTTTGTTTAGCGCTTCGAGGGCGCGTCATTCGCTCCTCATTCGGCTTACGGGCCACCTCGTTGGTACCATACAATCTTATTCCACCGTGCCTCCCTTGAGGTCGCGTAGAAAATGCTTCCGGGAGAGTTCTGAAAGGCTCGTAATCGGCGACGCTTCGCGAGGTGGACTCGCACCTCAATGTATTGGCGCCTTTGTGGACTCCTGTCCACGTAAACAATAACGTGGACAAATTCCAACGCTGACTCTTCGTAGCTTGCGTCCCCATCGTGCTTCGAGTCCATGCGCGAAGCTGGCGAACCGCAGTCAGGTGTTAAATCTGCACCCCCCTCCAAACGCTGGATGTCCTCATTCAGGACGTCGAAATCGCGTGACGATAGTAGCCCATAATCGTCTGTAGACGCATGATTTGGGAGCCCCTGATCTACCGCCACAAACTCGTGTAAGAGCCCCTGCTCGACCACGTCTTGCTCATGTGGGATCCTCTGTTCGACCACAGGAAGCGATGATAGGAACCTCTGTTCTACCATCATATTCGCACGTGGGGACTCCTGTCCATCCACGTCACACTCGGTGGCGAGCCCCTGCTCGGCCACACCTTGCCCTTGTGGTAGCCTCTGCTCGACCACAATGGGTGCAATTAGGAACACCTGTTCGTGTTTGACCACTGCTCTCTCGTGCGGGAACCTCTGTTCGACCGCGTCGTCTTCGCGCGGGAACCACTGCTCTTCCGCGTTGTCATTACGCGGGAGCCACGGCTCGTCCACGTTGGACTCCTCTCTGCAACGCGAGGAGACATCGTCACTCGTGCGTAGTGGCACGAAACAAGTGATACAGAGAGAGCCATCTCTCACTCTGTGTACCGCCGGTGTCGTGGACGTACGATCCACGACTGTTACGCTCGGCCAATCGCTTGGAGACACCAAGAGATGGGTGAACACTTCGATGACGTCGAACTTGCTTCGACGTCTCACTGGTTCGGCCAGCCATTCGATCTGGGGCTAATAGCGTGCCAACCCTGGCATGCCCAAGATGCAATCGAATACGTATTTAATCTCAATCACTAAGAAATTGTCGCTACTGCGAAAGCCGTCAAACTTGTATGGCAACGACACTTCGCGCCGCGATCCGCGGCGTGATTTCCCGTCAGCGAGCTTGACAACAATTTGTCCAGGTCCCTCATGGACCTGGATGCTAAGTGACAGCATTGACGTGCAAGATTCACGGAAAGAATTGTCTGTCGCTCCTGAATCTAGAAGCGCTCGTAGAGATCGCCGGATATCTGCGACATGCAGATTAGCGATAGTCAGGCGTGAATCACCTATTGTAGTGGTGGCATTTAACTGTTCACGCAGCACAGATAGGCTGGGAGGTCGGGCTGCCACCGGTGGACTTGGACCTTCCTTCAAATCAGTAGGGCGCCTTGCACCTACTGGTCTCGTCCGTTTTTTGGACGAGTTAGCGGAGCACCTCCCTCACGATGGGTGTCCGTCGCATGCACCGACATCAGTGCTGGCGCGCAGCATTAAGCCGCGCGATGTCCCGACTTTCGACATCGAAAGCAGATCATCTGACGTCCGCTACGGACGTCGTCATTGTAGAACGTAGCGCGTCGTCGGTCACCCGACGACTCAATTGCATCGATCTTTATCGGTTCCAGGCTCGCTGATTTGACAGCGGTAACAACTGAATGCTTGGTTTAGGCCTTGGTGACTCTGAAGTCCTCACGGAGGGCGATAGCAAAGACCCCTTTAACGTGGCAGGCTCCGCGCGTTCCAGCGATAGGCGAGTCTGCCCTTCACGCATACCATCGACAAACACATTCACTTGTGTGTGCATGGCCATGGGATGCGTGACAATCCACGACGCCAGATGTCGAGCAATCTACAGGTAGTCGCACATGTACATCTTACCTGTCGCAAGGACAGGAACCTTGAACGCACCAACTTCTCTTCCTGTGGCGGCTCGAAGGCGAGTCAAAGGTCACTCTGGATGGCTTCCAGAGTGGGGAACGCATACTGATCACACCCGAGTTTACCCAAGGCCCACTCCTTGGATTTCTTAATGAGACGAGAAAGGAGGAAGTTGACCTTCGTTTAAGGAGCCTCGAGAAGTCTCGAGGCGATAGCGATGTCAATCTCTCGAACCAACGCGACAACGACAAGCGTTCTTTTTCTTAGCCAGAGTATACGGAGGTCTCCATCTTGACGGCATCGTTATGTGAAGTTCGCGAGGGAGTTAAACCTCACCGATTAAATTCGGCGAGCTCGCGAGCCATGAAGTCGTGTATGGCGAGACGCTGTCCATCAAGAGTCGCTGATTTATCAGCGACGCAACGAATGCCTCTCCGGATATCGCCGCGAGGCGATTTAGGGCATTCCACTTAACACCGGTGAGATAGGGAAAAGTCGCGTGCTCTAGACTCACGTCTGGAGCGTCAAAGTACGACGAATCGCTCATTCAAAACTTATGCATGGAGAGGACTACTAAGTACTACCAGGTGTAACGGGGCTAGAACAACCCGCACTTAGATCACACTATTCTACGCTTTGAGGAAGCTTCAAAGCCCAAGTCTTAGGTGTTAAGTACGTTTAACTCTGTCAAATTTTTGTCTTTTAATCATCCTAAGTACGAATGGTTCCCTTGGACTCATGGGAACCCCTCAATCTACGTGCCTATACCTTACTGGCTAATAATGGTACTGATCCCATTAAACCAGCTAAAATGCACGACGTGCTATTTTCGCTACCTCGAAAGTATCACCCCTAATTAAGTAACATGTAAACTAATTCGAAACTACTTAAGTAACGAGGTGGCCCATTACACTGCATGTTTTGGTAAATTTACTAATGACAGTTAAACTAAGTCTCTTTCGCTAAATGAAAGAACCTTCGCTTTTTTGTGTTTGTCTGCATTTCAGTTCTGTTTGTTTATTGAATCTGCAATTGAGTCATAAATAAAGCGAGTCAGCAGAGACGCTGGTTCATCTTTTTTAAACAGCAGTGCGCTTCGTGTGCACTGCTAAAAGAACGTTGTCTTCATCATTGAGGGCGTCATCGTTCTCACTGTGGCAGTCACTGGCGATGATGAATATACCAGCATCGTCATCATCATCATCATCATCGATGTCGATGAGATCGGCATCAGCATCCATCACATCAACACCAATGTCGACGGGTGATGAGCAAGAACCAGATCGGTTTTTTTTTTCAAAAGATTCCACCCCTCCTTAATCTAGAGTCACACTCTATGAAGGCGGGTAAACGTGAATGGCTTAGGCCATACACAAAAAACGGTGTATACGTTGTCGCATTTGCTTCGAGTTGTTATTGGCAAATTCCGCCATCGGCACGATTTCACACCAACTCGTAAACGAGTCGACGTGCCCTCGAAGTATCTCCTCGAGAACGCGGTTGACGCGTTCCGTCTGACCATCTATATTAGATCATAATTCGACATCTCAAAGCGTATTCCTAGTGAACGGAACATAGATTGCTAGAATTCCGCTATAAAGCAGGGGTCCCTATCCGACACGAGTTCACGGGGTAATCCGTGAAGTCGGAAGATAGTATCGATGAAGACATGAGCACAGCCCTGGACTGTGATTGACTCCGGTACAGCAACAAGATGTACCATCTTGCTGGACCGATCATCAAACACAAGAATGCCAGTATTCTTGTAAGCGTCTTTGGGAAACCCGAAGACGAGGTCTATCGATACGGACTGCCACTACTCTGCCGGAATCGGAAGAGGCTGCAAGTGTAACGGGGTAGCCCGTTACATGAAATTGACACTAAACGGTGTCAATAGAGATATTGTCTAGTGTGACAATATTCTACCGATATTGTCCGAGGTAGATAATGTTGAAGGAATATTATCCCCTTTGATAATATTCAGGCGCTGCTCAAGTTTGGTTGATATCAGACATATCAACCATGGATTGCTACCAATCGCTGCTAGACGCGCGCAATGAGTGGTGAGCAGGCTGTCGTCATACGACGACGTAGTTTAATAATAATTAGATAAAGATTAAAGTTATATTGACAGCTTAACTATATTAACTACAGTTCTCTCTTTGCCTTGAATTGATCGAGTCGTTCGAGTAGCTTAGCTTCCTCTGCACGTACTTGTGTACGTGAAGTTTCGCGGCACCCCAAACAAAGAATGCCCCGTTACACTTCATGTCACGCTTCCCATCTTCGTAAAGTTTGTGGGAAACACTGCATTTCCACATATGCTGCCATAAAAATGCGCATCCACTAAGACGTTTTTTAAGAGCCGCCTATGACTTCAAGTGCGATAAGGCTGCCCGTGCTTTGAGCTCGCCACGAGCGATATCAAAGTGTACCGGAAACGAGCTTGTGTTGTAGATGTGCGAGCGGTACTTACACAAATCAGTGCGACGTATCGCCCCGTTTTATACAGCCACGCCACGACTGGGGAATCTTGATGCTAGTACCTTAATGCTGTTCAGGTACTAGCGTCAAGCCTGATCCAACTAAATTTTAACCAATGCATCGCGTATCTCAAGCGTCGTGTCCGTATAGAACAGTTGTATCTCTCGATCTGTAGGCTGCCCAAATTGCCAATGTGGGCTCTGCGCTATTACTCAGTATCAATCCATTTTCGCTTTGAGTACAAGAGGCATCAGCGCTTACCGAAAAGACACAAATGTAGCGGAAGTTGTAACGGGGCACCCTGAAGCTTGTACTGGTGACAGTACAAGCTACTTATTCTGATAACAGAATAAGGCGGTGCCTCGTAACTTCACGTACACTCGTACGTGCAGAGGAAGACGGTAAGAAGAAGCGAGTACTCGGTTAGAGTAAAAAGTAGAACTGTATTTATAATAGTTAATGTCTGCAATAAATCACTATTTATCTTCATCTAACTATGTCTAAATACAAATGTGTAAATCAGTTATCTGCTCACCACTCATTGCGTGCGTCTGTCGTGGCAGCCTTCGTTGGTTGATATAATGGCCTATATCAACCAATTAGGAACTACTTGAAAGTGCTACAGAATATTGTCCTTATGACAATATTCTGAGAATATAACTCTTATAGTTATATTCTATTAACAATTTCTTATAAATTGTTATGTAACGATTCACCCCGTTACATCACCCCCCTTAACCATCAGTCACCTTAGTGACTGATTGACTAAATGGATACTCGTCCCAAATCATTTGGGACGGGGTTTGCACTTGTTGGTCCGCGTCCACTTTCCAACATCTCATCGCATGGTAAACAAGCCCATGCGATGCGCGAGCAAGGCCGCCGAGAGCGCGTCTGCACGTCTCTGTGCGGACGCCGAAGCAGAAACTACAGCAACTGATATCCCATCGGTTGCTGAATCGACTCAGCCTGTATCACCTGGTGATGCAGGCGCTGGTCATGAAGACACTCGTGTCTTCACAGAGTACGAGCTCGGTGTCTCGTACTCTCCTGATACGGATGACGGATCCGTATCGACGGCAATTGAATCCAAGCCGCCTGCCAAGCGTGGCATGGACGATGCTTTGCGTCGCAGCATCTTTGGTTCATCTGATGAGTCAGATGAACCATCGCCGAAGCGAAGGCGCTCGAGGTCGCGAGACTCGGGCGCTAATAGTGGTGTCGTTTCTCCAATGGACACCACTTCACAGCGAGGTGCCAGTACTTCTGTCGGCACGTCGCAGGAAGAGCGGGACCGCAATGTGTTGCGTCTCGCTCCAGAAAAGAAGGCATGGATGCCTCCTAAATCTGTCATGGATCACTTGTCGGCGACGACGAGTGATCGTTATCGAACACGATTGTTCGATTCGTCGAGGATTCATCACTTGACCCCAGCGCGAAAGACTATCGCGCTGAACATGAGTTCTTCATCGATGCTTTCTTCAGACATCGATGGTACAGTGGGAATCACAAACGTGATGGTCCCTCACTACTTCAGGCGTGGAACGCCTACATCCATAATCTCGAGGATGTAGGTCGTGACGCTTGGAACGA